CGCTGCTTGCAGCTTTAATTTACAATTGGATCTTTCCAGATACATGTGCTTTTTGTCCAGTGCAAGTTGTACAATGCAGTAGAAAGAAGGGAATAAAAAAAAGTCATAGTGAGTCAGCATATACAAACATGACTTTGTAACTACACATCAGTTCTTATGTGGAGACATTCAAACATTTTTGAAGGCTTGTGCAAATTTGAATTACATTGTAGGACTATGAAAATGTGTTGTTACAATACATACCAACCAGTCACCAAAGTCTGTGAAATTAGTTTTGTGCCACAGTTTTGAATATTTTCTTTTTTGCCCTGTACTTCTACCCCTGTTTCAGACACATTCACTTCTAAAAAATAAACTAGAACAGCATGGTTGTAGCATGGAGTGACTTTTGTCACCCTATGCTACAACAGCCATGCTCATTGTCTATATTTATTCTCTTGACCAAACAGCTGCTCAGTAAACCAATCCCTTACAAGTCGAGGGGACAGCTGCCATTCCACAAATAAGAGACAGAGAGGGAACTCCGTCAATCCATCAGCGAGATACAGTGTGGAAGATGTTGAGACAAGAGAAGGGTTATTAAGGACAGATTGGCCGACAACACTACCACAATTATCTTTGACAGATATTTTGGAAAACCGCTTGTAATTCAAAGTAAACTTGGTACAAATATTCTCTTGACGCCGCAATGACAGACAGCAGCAGTCCCCCATTGTCATCCTACATCATGGATGAGGAAACTCTAAAGCGAAAACAGAAGGAGAAGCTAAAGAAGCTGATGGCTACAGGAGGCAACCCAAGGCCGACACGCTCTCTCCTCTTCTTGACACTCAGGAATCCCTTCCGCAAGGCATGCATCAATATTGTGGAATGGAAGTATCCTGCTGTAAAAGGTTGCTAGAGGGACAGCTGAATCCAACTCATAAGATAACATTTAATGTGATTATTGCTACCACAGACCGTATTTACCATATTGTTACATTTGGTGTTCTATTTGTAGAACAGCTGTTGGTGGTATGTGTAAGTGTGTCAAGGTGTTTGCTGTTTAATTTGCGTTATGTGGGAACATCTAAATGTGAAATATTATGGTTGGTACATAAGCTTCCTATGAATCACCTTCAGACCTTTTGAAATCATAATCCTGCTGGCCATCTTTGCCAACTGTGTGGCACTGGCTGTGTACTTGCCCATGCCTGAGGAAGACAGCAACAACACAAACAGCAACTTGGTACGTCAGCATGCTTTTGTTTGAGTGTAAATGGATATTATACTGTGGATATTAATAGTGGTTTAAGCCAGTGGTTCCTATAGTGGGTGCCTTGAGGACAGGTCATGTCATTGACATCATTCATTGTTCATGTTTTAATAAGTAAAGAGACCAGGTGTCCCACCTTGTGTAGCACTGCACAGACCTTTTGATATTTGAGACAATGTCCCACAGTTTCATTGGCACATAAGTCAAACCACTCCATGATAGATGCTTTTTTTTCTAAGTAAAGTCTGGCTTTTATTCCCATGGCTGTGAAGAAAGCAGGGAACTCTGTTATTACGTGGGTCAACTGTAGGTTAACCATGTCAGTGCCGTTTGTTATGCCCAACAGGGACAATTGCAAGTCACCAAAAAGGCATAAGCTATGTAGATTTAGACAGAATATGATGGAAACTAACACAAAGAAGCAATAGATAGATTTGACATGGTAGTGCTCAAAGAAATCCTGGTACACCACCCACAAAACTCAAATCAAACTAAACGCTACCCAGATAATGACTTAACTGACTTGTTTTGGGTGCTTGTGGAAGATGGAGATCCATCATACACTGTGTACCGTGTGTTATCACACATATATGTGCGATCTGGCTCCCTCATCCCTGGTAATATGATACAATATTAACTATGATATAATACAATATAAAATTGATGAATGAATCTGTGTACATACAGTGAAATTTTATATTGGGGATTGGGTGGCTCAGGGTGCCATGGCATAAAAAAGTGTTAAGTTCGGAAACACTGGTTTAGGCATTTAGTGCTTCTAAGAAGTAAGTAGAAAGCTTTGAATACCTGATTTCTAATAACACAAATATTTCATTGGAAGGAATAAAGTACACTGTTTCTCTTATCCTGCCTTATCTGTCGAATCTATTTACTAATCTAATCTAACTAATCTAAGAATGTATTAATCTATTTTACATTTAAAAAGTTTCGTTAAGATGACCAACATGGGTGAATTTTAACAATTAAATCAACTTGGATAGAATTAATATTTCAGTGTCCAGCTAACTAAACCGACCAAGATTCATTGACAGAATGCAGTTTCTTTTTTTTGTATCCAACTTTATTGTCATGTGTAGGCACATATGTAAATGAAAAGAAGTGGGCCATAGAAGACATATAACATAAGATAAATACAGATAAATATAAAGACACAAAAGTAAAAAATCTCATGTACAAGTTTATAAATGAGGTAGTGTATGTACATGTAGTGGCACTGTAAACATGTCAGTGGTGCAAGAGGAAAGCCATGTTGAAAGACATAAATAAGTAATTGTAGTAGTGCAAAAGAGTGCTGTATAGGTCAATGCAAACTGGATCTTGTCCCTGTATGCCATCTCATCGTTGTTGGTGATTCAGCCTAAACTGTGGTGTCCTTTGTGAACTTTATTATACAGTTTAAGTGGTGAAATAGAAGGCAGTTGTGGGTAATGCGAGAGTAGATGAGGGGGCTCATAGCACAGCCTTGTGGGGATGTGCTGAGGGTCAGGTTTGAAGGAGAAGTGGTTACCTAACTTCAGGGAGTCCAGGGTCAAGTTATAGAGGGAGGGGTTAAAGGAGAGACAGCTAGCTCAAATAGTGGCATCGGCAGCTCGCAGTGGCATTTCCGGTGGCAGGTTGAAAAGAACGAAATGATACAATGGATTTAACCGTCCAATTTCTTTCCTCAGCACTGCAAACATAACATACTGCAATATAAATCCAAATATTGTAATAATCAAAGAGACCTTGAAAAAAATGCACAAAAAGGGTCATGAAAATGCTACCCAAGACTTAATATTGCCAAGTGGTTAACATTTATGAACTATAAATTCGGTATATACTAGCAGAATGCTACAAACAGCATGACAGGCTATGCTTTGGTTGTATATGGTTTGTTACCTAGGTATATGAGTGTGCGGTGATTTCGGACAACAGCTTGTTTGCACGTTATCACCCCATAAATCGGCGAAATGTGCCATGCCCAACTCTTACAGTGGAGCCGTGGCACCCACACAAACAGCGGCCAGGTGCCTCGGCATTCCTAGGAATTGCCACCAAGAAGACTGCCACCGGAATACCATATAAAAGGCGAAAGATCTCGTGGCATCTCAGGAGAAAGTCGATTGGCCATCCCAACCGCGCCACCGAAATGCCACTGGCTAACCAGAGGACGACTTGCCTTCGCTCTTCCGGCCCCGGATCCTAGAACAAACGAGCAGAGGCGGGCACATCATATTTTTTGGGCCGGCAACTAGTGTTGGGATAGTCATTTCAAGATATTATTTTATTACGCATGATGTAAAGCCTGTATTTGTATAAGCTATACACACAAAGGTAAAAACACAAGACCATAGTTCATGTCATCTCTTTGTGAGACACTCTAGCTGCAAACACGCTGCGGGGGGAGGAAGATTGTGTTATCTCCAAGGGTCAGAAGACCAGGCTGATCCATAGCTCTAGTTTCACAAATTATATCATATGAGAGAGGAGCAGGGTGGAATTAATTAATTTGATTTTAGGGCGGGTGGGGCGCTGTCTCTGGAATTGGTTGGTCGTGTGCCATAAGGAGACTGGGCCAGTTTGAGCCAACAAGGATGCGCAAGTCTAAAACCACGGTTGCGTCCATCAGTATAGTCCACCTATCACGTTGCTTAATTGAAAAACTCAACTATAACCTCTTGTAACCTTTGATCGGACTCTTTTTGGGGTGAGAAAAGACAGGAGTAAAGCACTTCGCTGACTGTGGCATTCTC